GTTGCCTTTGACTTTGGTAACAGGGTAATGCTGGCCTCATAAATTAGGGAATTTTCCCCTCCTCTGTGGAGTCCTGGTGTGGCGCTGTGGGCTAATGTGTCAGACTGTAAAGTCCTTTGAACTGCAAGGTTGGTGGTTCAAGCTCACCAGCTGCTCCTTGGAAACCCTATACAGGGTGGCTATGGGTCGGAAGCGACTCTAAGGCACTTAACAACAACAACTATTTAAAAAGGTTCTGTATCATAAGCACTGGGCTGTGAACCACAAGGTCAGCAGTTTGAGCCCACCAGCTATTCATGGGAGAAAGATGAGGCTTTCTGCTCCCTCAGAGATGTACAGCCTCTGAAACCCTATACAGAGTTGCTATGAGTTGGAACCAACTCACTGACACTTAACAACTTTTTAACTTTGAGATTGTGAGAAACGTTGTCTATACTGACAGACGGTCAAGTAATCTAATCTGTACTCATTTTAGCCATCTGTATTCGATTTTGCAAAATCAAGCACCCAACCCAGTAGACAGGGACAAACATGCCACATGGCATGCCACAAATGGTTTTTATTTTTGTCTCCAAAATGCCCCTCCTCCAGTTCCAGTTCCCCATATACAATTCTATGGCTGGTTCCATTTCCCCTCCCCCCCAAAATGGCTTGCCCTTGATCTTAGTGGCTGTATTCTGATTTAAACTTCCTAGTCCTAGAACAGCCTGCTTGCTTCAGCAATCTGTCTGCCAGGTCTAATCTCATGAATTCCTGAAGATGGACCATGCCCACAAGACTTATTTCTCACAAGACTAACTTTAAAAAAAGAGTTGACACCCCAAAAAAACAAAACAGAAAAGCAGAGAGAAGCCAATACAGTTGAATGATGATGCATGGAGTGGATTGTAATCATTGCAATGAAACAATGAGAGGCAAAGCTGATGTTCTCCCATGTAAACTATCACTCAATTCACAATAAAAACATTAAAAAAGAGTTGGTGTTAACTCTTCATTAAAGGTTTGGTCCTGGGCTTTTCTTGGATGAGAAGTTTTTGATTACTGATTCAATCTCTTACTTGATAGTTATGTTGTGTTTAGTCAGTTTAAGTAGTTTGTGTTTTTCTAGGAATTTGTTAATTCTAGGTTATCTATTTTGTTGGTGTACACTTGTTTGTTGTGTTCTCTTATGATCCGTTTTATTTCTGTAAGATCTGTAGTAATGTTATCTACTTTCATTTCTGTGAGATGGAACGAGCCACAACACAAACACCCACGTGTAAGGCTTTATTGGAGGTTGGAAGGAAAGAGAGAGGGAGTGCCAGGGGAAGGATTTTTATACTGATCAAAGAGGAGGGCGGGGTTGAGATCAGTGGAGGTAAATGATAGGTTGACTAGGGATGACATGCCGGTAGGGAGACCGAAAGCGCGGCAAGCAGCCATTTTATTATGCACGTGGCTGAGGGATTCTATCGATTTCTGATTTTAATCATTTGAAGTCTATTTTTTCTTTATTTTCTTTTTGTCTAGCTTAAAGCATTGTGATACCTGATTCTCTCCAGTGTTTTCTATTCTCTATTTTTTGGTGTAGTGCCATGGGTTAATGCAGTAGACCGCAAAGTAGTTTGATCTGCAAGGTTGGCGGTTCAAGCTTACCAGGTTCTCCTAAGAAACCCTATACAGGGTCGCTATGGGTCAGAACCGACTTGACAGCACTTAACAACAACAACAACAACTTTGTACTGTGCTCTAAGTATTGTATCCTTCCTTCTCTTAGCTCTGGGTTTAATTTTGCTCTTCTTTTTCTAATTGCTTAAGGTGTGAAGTTACTGATTTAATGTATTTCTCTTTTAGGTATTTACAGCTATAGATTTTCTTCTGAGCACTGTTTACACTGCATCCCATAAGTCTTGGTATGTTGTGTTTTCATTTTGATTTATTTTCTAATTTCTCTGTGAAATTAGGTATTCTTGGACCCTTTGGTTATTTTAAGAGTGTGTTTAATTCCACATATTTGTGAATTTTACAATTCGCTTCTATTACTGATTTCTACTTTCATTCCATTATGGTTGGAGAAGATACTTAGTGTAATTCTTCGTAAATTTATAGAGATTTGTTTTGTGGTTTAACATGGTCTATCCTGAGAAGGTTCCACGTGCACTTGAGAAGAATGCATTTTGCTATTGTTGGGCGGAGTGTTTTATATATGTCTATTCAGTTCAATGACTCCTGATGTGATGCTGGACTTCGAACCTCAAGGTCAGCAGTTCAAACCCACCAATTGTTCCTCGGGAACCTTATACAGGAGGGTCACTGTGAGTTGGAACCAACTCGATGGCGTTAAGAACATCAGTTCTAGTTGGATTACAAAATTGTTCAAATCTTCTCTTTCCTTATTTATGTATCCAGCTCTACCCATTATTGAAAATGGTGTACTGAGACGCACCTTTAATTGTAGAATTGTCTGTTTCTTGCTTTGATTCTGACAGTGTTTGCTTTATCTGTTTTGGGTCTCTTGTTGAAGCATAAAGTTTATAATTGTTCTTTTTGCTTTTTGATAAATTGATACTTTGTATCATTATACAAGAGGATTTAAAACACTGATGAAGATCAAAGAGCACAGCCTTTGGTATGGATTACATCTGTACGTAAAGAAAACAAAAATCCTCACCACTGGAACAATAAACAATATTCTTATCAATGGAGAAAAGATTGAAGTTGTCAAGGACTTCATTCTTCTTAGATCAACTATCAACACTCATAGAAGCAGCAGTCAAGAATTCAAGCGACGTGTATTGCATTAGGCAGATCTGCTGCACAAGACCTTTTTAAAGTGTTGAAGAGCAAAGATGTCAGCTTTGAGGACTAAGGTACACCTGACCCAAGCCATGGTATTTTCAGTAACCTCATATGCATGTGAAAGCTGGACAGTGAATAAGGAAGACCATAGAAGAATTGATGCTTTTGAGTTATGGTGTTGGAGGAGAGTATTGAAAGTGCCATGGGCTGCCAAAAGAACCAATAGATCTATGTTGGAAGAAGTTCACCAGAGTGCTCCTTGGAGACCAAGATGGCCAAACTTCGTCTCACATACTTCGTACATATTGTCAGGAGGGACCAGTTGCTGGAGGATATCATGTTTGGTAAGGTGGAGGGTCAGAGAAAAAGAGAAAGACCCTCAGCAAGATGGATTGGACTAATGTGTGCCTCAGTGGGCTAAAGTATGATAACAGTAGTGAGATTCGCCCAGGATCGGGCAGTGTTTCATTCTGTTGTGCATAAGGTCACCAACCAACTCGTTGGCACCTAACAACATCAATGTACAATGTCCTTGTCTTGCTCTTCTAACAGTTTTTTATTCAAAGTCAATTTTGTCTGATAGTAATACAGCCATCTCAGCTCTCTTTTGATGGCTGTTTGCATGGAGGATCGTTTTCTACCCTTCCATCTATTTTATTTCCTTTAGTCTAAAGCGAGTTTCTTACATAGTTGGATTGGGTTTCTTTTTATCCATTCTTCTATTGTCTGACTTGATTGAAGAGTTTAATACATTCACATTTTAAGTAATTATACTTACTTCTACAGTTTTGCTCTTCGTTTCTATATTTCTTATGCCTTTTTTTTTTTTTTTTTTTTTGTCTCTCATTTCCTCCATTACTGGCGCCTTTTGTGCTTAGTAGATTTTTTTGGGGGGTGGGGCGTGGAATAAACTGATTCCCTTTTTGAATATACATTAAAGATATATCCTTTATGGTTACCATGGAGATTATATTTGATACCCTAAGTTTGTAGCAGTCTGGTTTGAATCAATATCAACTTCAATAACATACAGAAGTCCCACTCCTATACAGCTTACAGCTCCACCGCCCCTGTCTGTTGTTTCTGTCACAGATTACCTCTTTATACAAATGTGTCTAATAATGCAGGTTTAGAATTAAATTTTATGGTTATATCATTTAAATCACGAAGGAAATAAAAAGCAGGAGTTATAAACCAAAAGTATAATAACACATTGGCTTTTATATTTGCCTATTAGCTATCTTTACTGGGGAGCTTTAGGTCTTCATAGTTTGTAGTGGTAGTAAGCACTCTGTGCCTGGTTCTTTGATTTCCACCTGGCCTCCCTGGTTGCTGATGAGAAATCATCTGTTTGTCGTGTGGAGGGTTTTATGTACGTGATACATTCTCTCTCTCCTTGCCTGAAGATGCTTCTTTGTCTTTAGCTTTTGATGGTTTGGCAATAAGGCATCTTCATGTGTCTTTGAGTTTATGCAATCTGAAGTTTTTTTAAGTGTCCTGGATATGCAGATTCATATCTCTCACCAAATTTGGAAAGTTTCCATCCATTTAGGGTCAGGACCAACTCCACAGCATAAATCAATTCTTGGTGGCCGTAATGTGTATGTTTCTCTGCTCAGTGATGCTCCACAGACCCCTCAGTCTCTTGTCACTTGTGTTTATTGGTTTTTGTTTGTTTGTTTTCTTTTTCCCTGCTCCTCAGACAGAATAATTTCAATTGTCCTGTCTTCCAGTTCACTGATGCTTTTTTCTCCCTGCCCTAGTTAACCTGCTATTACACCACTCTAGTGGCCTTTTTTTTTTCATTTCAGTTCATGTACATTTCAGCTACAAGATTTCTATATAGTTTCTTTATATAATTTCTGATTTCTTTTTTGAGATTCTCTATTTGGTGAGACATTGTTCTTCTGGTTTGTTTAGTTCTTTGTCCACTGAAGTTTCCTTTAGCTTTCTCAGCATATTCCAAACAGTTGATTTAAAGTCTTTGTCTGAAAAGTCCAGTAGTGGAAGTCTTTGCAAAACTCTTGTGTCAGTGACTTCTGCTGGCTTCTCATTCCTGGTGTCTTGTGTCCTTTTGTGCTTAGTGAGTTTTGATAGAGCGTCTCCATTTTCTTTGGAAATTTAACTGTGGGGATGTTTTAAGATCTCTTTTTTCACCCAAGTGCAGCTCTCACTGCGGTGGCTGTAATGGGTCGCCCTTTGCCTTGTTCTCTGATACACAGGTGTATCCTGAGTTTGAGGATCAGAGAGCTTGTCTGCCTTCAGGATCTTTCCTGACCTGTTCCTCGGACAACACCATTCGCTTCTGGAATATGGATAACAGCGCTGACTCATACTGGAAGAAAAACATCTTCAGCAATGTGAGTGGCTTCATTATGAACTATCTGTTAGGAGAAATAAAGACCTGCTTGAAACTAAGATTTGAGGTCAGGAGGGAGTATTAATGGAACCTAGGTGGGAGTCCTCAGTGGGGGCAGGAACTAGGAACTGAAGTCAGCTGCTACTTTTTCCCTCCCTCTTGTTTCACTCTCTCTCCCTTGTTGGGTTCTAAGGTAGCACGGTTTTTCCTCTTTATTTCTATCTGCTAATCAACTTTTGCTCTCTAGCCATGTGTGGATAAGGCCACCCCAGGCAACCTGGCACATTCAATAGCGAAGTGCTCCTCAAATCTTGAGCTGGAATTTCTGGGGAAACCATCCAGTGGGCCAACAGGCAGAGACCTCCTTCTGTCTAGGGAGCTGCGGAAAGATGAAAATGATTGGTATCCCTAGGGCAGAGTTAGGGAGCATCTGGGGAGCTGACCTGAATCCTATTTATTTATACTGGTATTTACTAAGGTCTGTGCCGAGTGCAGTGCTGGGGTCGGCTGGGGGTGTACAGCAGAGATCAAGACAGACCCTTCTCCTGCCTTCGTGGCGGCCACGGTCTAAAGGGTGAACTGCACGGATCACAAGTGTGACAAGTGTCATGGAGGGAAATTGCAGGATGCTAACAGAATAGGTGGAGCCCTGGGGTGGCCTGTGGGCTAGTGCACCAGACTGCAAAGCTGTTTGAACTGCAAGGTCGGCGGTTCAAGCTCACCAGCTGCTCCTCGGAAACCTTACATAGGGTCACTATGGGTCGGAGTTGACTCAATGGCACTTAACAACAGCAACAACAGAATATGTAACAGCTCTCACCTGGGGCATCAGGGGCAACTTCCTGGAGGAAGAGATGACTGAGTTGAGGTATGGAGGGTTGGAGTCAAGAGGGGAAGGTAAGTGTTCCAGGCCAAGGAAACATCCTGTGCAAAGGTCCCTGAGATGGGCAAGAGCTTGGTGAGTTGGAAGACCTGAAAGAGGTCAGTGTGGAGGGAACAGAAAGAGGCCCTGAATGCAGGGTGTATGTGGCAGGAGCTCCTCTCGCACTCTCTCACCCTCCACCCAGCACGGTCAGCTTCTCCTCGGCACCTCTGATACTGCACAAAATAGAACAACCCAACAACAGACATTTAGTTCTCTGACTCAAAAGCAATCTGGAGGTTTGAGGGCAGCTAGAGGAAGCCCTTAGAGACCCAAGAGCCTTCCTGCTCCTTGTGCTTCTCCAAGATGGCTGCTGGAGCACCGGCCATCACATCTTGCATTGCAGGCAGCAAGACAGGAAAGGAAGCAGAAGGGTTCTCATTGGCATTCCAACTCATTGACCAGAATTCCTTTGCACAGCTTCATTTAACTGTCAGGGGGACTGGGTAACACAGTTATGAATCTGAGTCAAAAAGCCCTAGTGGCTCGGTGGGTTGGGTATTGGGCTGCTGAATGCAAGGTCAGCTGTTCAAACCCACCAGCCACTCTGTAAGAGAAAGATGAAGCTGTCTGCTCCCATGAAGATTTATAGTCTTGGAAACCCTGTGTAAGGTGACTGATAGAACCTGTATTAGTTGGAATCGACTCGGTGGCAGTGGGTTTCGGTTTATTGAAGCTTCCAGCTCAGAACAGGCACTTTCTTACTAATGAAGTGGGGAGGCTGGCTACTGGGAAGTCATGGAGGGACTGAAACTCTTCTGAACTCCTCATGGCACTGACCTCCAGCCTCTCCCTCCTGCAGACCCTTCTGAAGGTAGTGTACGTGGAGAATGACATCCAGCACCTGCAGGACACGTCCCACTTCCCAGACCGGGGGAGTGAAAATGGGACACCCATAGATGCGAAAGCCGGGGTACGAGTCATGCAGGTCAGTCCTGACGGCCAACACCTGGCTTCCGGCGACCGAAGCGGCAATCTGAGGTAAGTTGGCCTAACAGGTGTTGGGTGTGCACCTCCATCCTGGGCCTGGGTGTTCAGGTGATGGGGAGGAGGAGCTGGGCAGGGGTATCCAGAGGGCTTGAGATCAGGGTAAGCTCCCAGGACCTCCGCAGCTGGGTCTGCAAACACTGAGTGCTGCTCGAGTGGGTGGGCACACTTGCACGACTTAAAGGCGGGCGACATGGTGTTTGTGATACCCCTGCTGACCCATCCAGGAAGATGCCAGCTAGAGGTTGGGGAGTTCTGTGGCCCCATAGGAGGGACAGTGGGAGTGGAGCATTTGAGAGCTCAGGTTGTTTACCTCCCCCTCCCCCAACCACAGGATTTTTTTCAAGATGTTACCATGCGGGCAGAACATGAGCATGAGCTCAGTCACAGGGACTGGGTTTAGGATGACAAAAGATAGCCGTGTCCACCTGAGTGGACTGTGAGGAAGGGAAGGGACCAGGCAGCCACCACACAGCATCAGGAATTCAGGCTCCAGGCCTGAATTGAGGTGGAATGTCAATGACTCTTCTGCTTCCTTTCCATTGTCACACACACCAAGAACAGCAGAAAGTGCACATGGTTTTTGTTGGTTTGTGTGTGTGTGTGAAATGCAATAATTTTCAAGTGTTACCAAGTGTGTGGCTACCAGTCATTGCATAATACAGACTACAATGACGGAGGGCTACCCACGTGCATGGGGTTCTACCATGTCCGGCAGAAATAGGAGCAAGGGCTGCCCTGGGCACAGTCCTCCTCCCCCAGGCCTGGACACTGACATGAGCTCTGTGGGTAGCAATGATGTCATCCTCTCCCAACGCTATGGTATTAGCTCTGTCATTAGCTCCATTTTCAGATGGGTTAACTGAGGTAAGAGAAGGCAGGGGAGTGGCACAAGTAGACAGTTGAAGAGCAAGGAGGAATGTCTTTTACTTCAGGCCTGGTTGACCCGTTGACTATAAGACTTCATTTGGAGAGAATGAAAAAAGTCTAGATTTGAGACTTTAAGAATGAGAGATTAGAATCCAAGGTTCCCACCCATAGGTGCTCTGGCCCCACTCCCTTCCCCAGGGACTACATCTCTGATACAGCCTGCCATGACCCCTCTTCCCACAGCTGGAGTAGGCTCGGTACTACTCCCTTTAGAGTGGAAGGGTTCTAGATGAGGTGTGACTGGGCATCTTTGGACCAGTCAGCCAGGGCGCAGGGGATCCCCATATCCCGGAGCTCGCGGCAGAGTCCCACGGGAGCTGGGTGGCATGTGTCTTCCAGGATCCATGAGCTGCACTTCATGGATGAGCTGGTCAAGGTGGAGGCCCATGATGCTGAGGTGCTGTGTCTGGAGTACTCCAAGCCTGAAACAGGTGAGTCCACAGTGGGGTCAGGGGTCGGGGTGGTGGAGGAAGCAGGGCAGTGGCTCCCCTGGAAGAGCCACACAGAAAGGTAGTTGCATCTGATGGGACTGTGAGTGACAGCTGAGAGTCCCATGTTTAATAAGGGCCCGTATTGCTGGGCACTGGGACCAGGGTGGCGGCATTCCATAATGCAGGACACTGACACATTGGACTTGGCCTGACTTGCTCCTTCCTGGTCTCCAGAATCTGAAGGATGTCAGAAGACATGAACGTTGAATGAATGAATGTATGAATGAGCTCATCTTCTACTGGGGAGACGGATCAGGAGATGTTTTTAATGAAACATGTTTTGAAAATGTTTGAAGCCGACAGATAGGTTGCAAGACTTTTACAGTGAAATCCAGACCCTTCACCCAGAGTCCTCAAACAGTTTTCATTTAACTCCTGTCTGATTCTAGGACTGTATCAGGAGGTTTCAAAATGTTTGTGGAAAAATTCCAGTCTTGTGTTGTTTTGTGTTGCTTCCATTCCTTTTTATTCTTTTTTCGGGGGTAAAAGGGTGGAAGTGGGGATGTACACAAAAGCACTCAGAAATGTATAATAATTAAAACAACCAAAGGGCACATTCTGCAAGTCTGCCTCCTGGTCACCAGCACACAGCCTTTCTCTTTCCATGAATCTAGAGTCCTCATTTGCTCCCTCTCTCCATGTTCTCATCTCTGCCTCCATCTCTGCTGTCGCTGCTTCTCTAGATAGGGTCCTACAATCCGCTCATGCTCTTCTCCCTTGATGGTCCTAGGGTCCTCTGTTCCTGGACTGTAAGATTAACTACTCCCTTGATTTTGTTACAAAACTTCTACTTTTACAGTGTGGCAGCCGCAATTAGTCATGATAACAATTACTGTTGTTGTTGTTGTCAGGTGCCATCGAGTCGGAAC